CACCGTCCTGTTGGAAAAACATGCCATCCAAATCCATTTCATCCAACTGAGGCAACAAAAAATCCGTTATCATCGTTCGATACCTTTCACCGTTGACTGTTACACCATGTTCGAAAAAATAAGGTCCGATGATGCCACCATGCCATAAACCGCACCAGACAGTGACTTTTTCTGGATGCAAAGGCTTATCAAGAATCTCATGTGGATTATTTTCACTCAAAAAACCACAATTTTGGTTATTCACAAAGCCGTTTAACCAAAAATGAGCTTCATCAGAAAAGATTATTTTTTTGAAAAAATCGCCCCATCATTTTCCAGTTTGTCTGGAGCCCAATCAGCAAACAGACGACGTTTATGATGGTCAAGTGGCTTCAGTTCTTAACTCAGAACAATCTTGTTAGGGTGTAGACCTAAATCTTTTTTTAGAACTCGCCAAGTTGTCATTCTGATGAGTCCAAGTTCTTGAGAACGACTATTTACGGACACATTTGCATTCTCTGCTACACTGGCTTTTACAGCAGCAATATTGTCCTGAGTTCTTGCATTTCGGCGTCTAGTTGGTGGTTTCGTATCGTGCAGAGTAAATTCACATGCAAACTTTTGCCACGATTCGACGAATTACACGCACATCAGGACGATGATTTGGTCGTAATGCAGGATAGGTATTCACAAAAGAACGATTATTAGCATAAAATAATATTTTAAAATAAAATTTATAATTTCCAACCGTTGCTCAAGCGTATATCTTGCCATGGTAATTTGTTAGAGTATACTAAATACAAACGTCAACAGGTGACAGTTCTACCATTTTCAAAATGGCCGCTATGACATTTCAAAAACAGGACGTCCCTATTGGGAAATCCTTTATTTTATACAATAAAGTTACAATGAACGATACAACGTTAGAAAGAGAAGAAAATACGCTATCTGGGCTGCCGTATTAAGAAAACCGTATAAAAAGCCAGAAGGTCTTTTAACTTTCTTCGCAAAATTCTCTGTAATCTATCTACAAAGTAGAATGCTGGAGTGTTACAAAAGATACCATCAAACGGTTAGAGGAATTGGAAATGTGGTGCTACCAACGTATGTTAAGAATTAAATAATTATCTTTCGTTAACGAAATACAAATTTCCTATTCACTCTATTTCCAAATACTTTGTGACTGAAAAATATATTTAGGGTAAAATAAAGTCGGGATATGTTATCGACATCGATAAATGGTCACTTTGGGGATCAAATTAGGATATTTTTCAAAACAAAAATCAAAAAAGTATAGCCATGGTTCAAAGACCTTGACAAACTATGAAATAATACTCTGTCCTTGGTAATACTTTTAGTTGATTGGCCTTGGCAATATTTTTTTGATTTTGTAGTGGGAATATAACCTATTTTATTTGTTACATCTGAGCTACCCTTGCAGAAATGGTAGACCAAATTTAAAAAATTCAAATTTTAAGTTAAAAATATTAGATTTTCGTTATGAAAGGGATATTCGTTATAAAATACTGAAAGGGATTTAGAACAAAAAATAAAATAGTAAAGATAAGCTCTTAAAGAAAAAGTTTCAAAACTTCTGAAGAAGTTCAGTGCATCTGGAATGTTCAATTAAAGATGTAGTTACTACTACAAATAAGACAAGAACTTTAAATAATGAAATAATTGTGAAAATTAATATAATGTGAAATTTAAGTACCTAGAATTGGTGTTATAGATGAAGGATGTGAGGGATGGACCAAATGGGAGAAGTAGAGTTGTGTGTTGTATGATAGAAAGATTCCGATGCAACTGAAAAGGAAATTCTGTAAAGCTGCTATAATATAAGCTATAATGGGTGGAACTAAATTCTGGATATACTTAGATGGATTAGTGCAGGGAATGAAAAAAGATAAAACAAAAATGAATATCTTTATAGGCGAAGTCTACTGGTAGCATCAATTGACGCCAAAATAAAAAAGCTTAAGTTAAAATGGTTACAAAATGGGGCATTAGATTCCCGACGTAAGGTCTTCTCATGTCTGAGGATCAAAGAGGTCACGTCTCGTGGAGACGGTACCCCATTGATTCCCAAGCTTCCTCCCCGCTTACCAATTTCAGACATAACGTGGGGGAGGCTTTACTTGTTTTTTTATCTTAATGCCTTGGAAAATTAGACATACATTGTAGTTATATTTTTCAACGTCAAATTAAATTCTTCCTATAAATTCTGAAATTACTGAATCTATTTTAAGATATATTATCATACTTTCGAACTATGTACTAATAACATTTCATACGGGAATTTTACCCGAAGAGCTCGTATTTCCTAAAAGTCTTTTGTTAATAAAGATGAAAACTTAATAAACCGGAGGTTTATATCGCATATTTTGTTCCTAAAACGATATTGAACGTTTTCATTAGTTTCAGAATATAAAATTTCTGCTAAAAGATTATGTAATTCATATCGAACTAAAATATTATTTATTTAGTCTATTGAAATGTTACATTTTTTATGTCATACTAGTTTATTATTGTGTTTTTATTGATTAGTTACCAACTAGGTAAGAGTGTACTTTATGCCCGCGCGGGCATAAAGTGTAATTTATGGCCCGCACGGGCGTAAAAATACATCTTTATTTAACAAAATTTCAACTTGGCAATGTTAATATTCTTAAATCCGTAAACTAATTTTTCTAAACCAATTCAGATGTCTGCTTTAGTCTGCGCCTTCTAAGAATTGCAAGGTAAAACAGACGTTGATAAAGATGTTATTAGACAAATGGGGAATCTAAACTTGCATTCCACAACATATCTCCTCAACTAAGCAAAAATCCTTAGCGAATTGGTTTCTAGTACTCGTAAAGAGTATACTGGAATAAAAGGAAAAGACAGTTAAGATTTGATTTCACTTATAGTGTGTCTGTGTATCCGCTTATACATATATCACCCTAAAAGGGATCTTCAGAGTGGCTATTCACAGTCGCTCTGAACGTGAAAGTAAATCTTTCCTGTCTTAATAGAAGCAACTCTGACATGGCTTCGTATAAAAGCAAATAGCGACGTCTGATAATAAATCCGTAAACTAATTTTTCGAAACCAGATTAAAGCAGAAATCTGAATTGGTTTCGAAAAATTAATTTATGGATTTATTATTAGATGTCGCTATTTGCGTTCATACGAAGCCATGTTAAAACTGCTTCTACTAAGACAGGAAAGATTTATTTTCACGTTCAGGGCGACTGTGAATAGTCACTCTGAAGATCCCTTTTTGAAATACGTATAAGCGGATACACACACGCACTATACGTGTAATCAAATCTTAACTGTCCTTTTCTGTTAATATTCTTATTTACCATTAAAGTCTTCTTTACCATTGAATATTTGGACAACAGGGAACTTGGAGAAAATGTTTCTGGGGAGATCAGCAAAGTATACAAGTAGCACAGTTTCACTAATGTGTTCTACATGGTTTTCTGTCATCCAGTGTTGTAATTTTTCATATTCCTTGTCGTAGGCATCTTTCGTCTTATGTAGTAGCAACTTTTACGTTGATTTTTCCGCTTTTTTTAAAATCTCGTTAGGTATCTCAAAAATATCTTGCATTTTCACGGTTTTAGTTTGACACCTTTGACAGCATTTCCGTAGCGTAGCAACATATCACGGACAATAGAATGTCTACTAGTAAATATATTGTCAAAATGAAATCGAATTTTCGGATTGTTTAAAACATATTTATTTGTAGATGCAATAACGAACTAGTATGACAAAAAAGTTTGCATACACTCGGTACATTAATAAATGAAGGGCACACGGATTAAACCATGAAAGTCCTTCTGATATTATTATGAGAAAACTTAAATTGTAAATTTAGGGACTTACATCTATAAAATTGGTTAAGATAAATCTTAATTTATTTATTAGTTACACTTGCAGGTATTATTAAATAATAAAAATAAAAACATTTAACATTTTGTGTTTTTGTATTGTATTTTAGTATTTTATTGAAAAAATAAAAAAAAACACTACAAAGGTGGTGTGTCATTCAATGAAAGTCCAGGTTTTTCATTGGTCTGTAAACATTATCAGTACCATTAGTTATTATCATCTCTGATATTGTTGGCATGAGGTAAACCATTATAATAGTCCTTGGCTGATTGAGAACAAAATATTTTTAAAGCCTGAATATCTATAAACTTCAGCTTAGGAATAGGCAGTCTGCCTGCGTAAGCCTGCTGTGGTAGTGAAAATTCATTATTGTTTTTTTTGTCAACCGCAGCTGTTGAGGACTATTAATTGTGCTTGACAACCATGAGTCACTGTAATTTTCTTTGTAAAAGATTAACCTTCCATGATTAACATTAATTTTCAACTGTCTTAAAAGTCTGCTTACAAAGGGACACTTTTTTTTGTAAAAAGGAGTCAGAAATGCAGTCCAAGATTTAAAATGATTTGTAGTACATTCCTTGACATTGAATGGTTTAGGTTTCTTTCTGGACTCTCTAATGTGCTGTACCCACTTACTAGGTAACTCAATCCTTGCTTTTTGATTATTGAAAACCATATTGTGGTCACACTCTAAATAAGAGTGGCCACGGATAGCAAATACAACAATAATTTCTGTAAAGCGATGGCAGGCATGGACCATATAGTGAAGAAATCTAAAAACTGTATAATTTTGATTCTGACCCCACATGTGTTACAGAATATGGTCAACTTTTGTACTTGAGAATTCAATTCATGGTATATAAAGTCAAATAAATGTGAAACAACAGCATCGGCACCTTTTTTACCCACTGTTTCATCATAGACAAAAAAAAATGAATCAGCATCAGACAGTTGATGAATATTGAATAAATTAAGTTCTTTTTTATAATAAACATCATTCGTTGTGATGTTTGGAATATGAATTTTTTTTTAAATCCACAGTTATACTAGTTACAGTATCATCTTTGCGAGCACACAATCTAGCACTCTTTTTATTGTATAAAATGTCTCTGCCTTTAATTAATGTAGATTATTTTTTACTACCAATTTTTTAATATTTGATTCAATTCTTCTTTCACAGTCTCATCTGTACATGTCCTTAGTTGAGAATTTATACATTTAATTTCTGCCAAAAATTGATAACAAGAGGAGCAAGTGTCCATCCTCGGATAGCCAAAAGAAATGTTGAAATTTTCATTAAAGTGTTTCCTATATGCTTCATATGATACTTTGTTGTCTGGATTTTTTTCAATGTAGTGATCCCAGAGTTTATTTACATTCAGTTCATCAAAGAGATATATCCTCTTGCTCTCATGTAAATTGTAATGTTCTTTACGCCCAGATTTCTTCTGTATAGTCTCAATTTGGTGCTTCATTAAGGAAATGGTTTCTGATGAAAGTTTATTACTTTTAGAATGACATCCCCGTTTGTCTCTAAGAATAGTACCATCCATTTTTAAAAGCTATTCTGCAAATATTGTAGTCTCTGGCTAGAAATGCCAAGCATGGAAAGAAATGCTTTATAGCATACTGGTATTTCACGTACATCATCGCCTCCAATTCGTATTTTATAGCAGTAAACCTTGGTTCTTAATGTAGGAGTGTCTTCCGGTTTTCTCGGTTTTCTACTTCGTATGTCAAGTGTGGTTATGAGACCACAAAGGTACCTGTTTTGCTCATACCTTGTTTTCAATAAATTGAACGCAGTCACAATAGATTGCCGTTCTGCGTCGGATGTATTTTTGAAACACTGGAAGAGTTTGCATTCACAACTTTCCCCAGTCTCATGTCCTTGTAAATTAAGCTTTTTCACCACGTCCCTCATTCGCCAAGTGGATTTCCGCTTTTTGCTGTTTGTGCACTCCATAATATTATTTAGTTTAATGTGATATTTTGTGTATTATAACAAGATTTACGAAAATCGTCAGTCGTGCTCAAATTTACAATTTACAAAACAATACCAATATTTGCTTTAATATCAATATATATAATAGCTTTGACAATACTACAGAATAATTATTCTGTGACCATACTATGAATAGAAAAATTCTAACCTAACTTTTTTGACAGTTTGACAACTTTGACTTTCATTGTTTTAACGTTGCAGCACTGTGACTATCAATGTTTAAGCCTTGTTCAACGATTGATTTTCTTCAAATAACTTGTGACTTCCATGGTTTTATTAAATGTATGATAAGCCAGAAGAAAGAGATACTAGAGACCTACCACAGACAATATAAATCACACAAACCATTTTTTTTGGACTTTCATGGTTTAAGCCGTGTGCCCTTCAAATATTAGAGACCTTATTATTATTAAGAGCGCGGTCATACCACCGATGTAGTTTTTACCGGTATTAATCAGGGAGAAATGTTGTTTAAATTTACTTTTAATTTTTATTTATGCCAATGATCATAGTTGTCGAGGCATTAACCCAATAAAAAAAATTTATTTAATTTTAATTTTTAAATTAATTTATAATTCAAACTTGGTTTAACATTAAATATGGTATATGTCTTCTTCTTACTCCTCTTACACCTTAGGGTGTCAGTTTTTTTTGTGGTTTTGTTGTTTTGTTAACTATTTTCTTATTTCTATTAGAACACGCCATATCTTAATATTAGTATTTGCCATACTTAAATACATGTCCCATTTTCAATTTCTTTATAAATTTAAAATAAGGCCAGCATTATAGTATTGTACAAAATATATAAAACTTGATATTGAATACAGCTTCTTGTCAAAGAGAATATTAATGATATTTTTTGAATAGTCTTCATTTAATTATTTCCAATCGGAAAAACATATTTTTTATTATTCCAACGAATATCACTAGCAGTATGTCAAAAACATCCATTCGATTTGCTTGTATTTAATTAAAAAATATAACATGAGAGAAAAAAATACGCCATAAATTAAAAATCAATCGAGTTAAAAAACACGCACTAAAAGTGTCATATAAAAATTATAAATGATCTGCATTTTCAATAACTCATTTTCTTGTAAAAACGGAAAACATGTTTTTTAGGACATACTTTAAACTATATATCATACACACAATTTTATTAGGAACTTATAGCAAATACGAATAAACGGAACAAACGATGAATACAGAGCGTCATTGAAAGAAATCAGAAAACAGTGCCGTAAAGGCAAAGCTGATTACATCTCTCAAATATGCAGAGAGATAGAGGAACATGGAAGTGGAAATAAACCGAGGGATTTATTTCAGAAGATCAAACTCCTTACCAGAGAATTTAAACCACAAACGTGGTTTGTAATAGATAAGGAAGGTAATCTAAAGACCGATCCTGACGAAATATTGGAAACAAGGCAAAACTACAGTGGCGAGCTATATAAAAATAACGGGATACTAGCAGACAATCACTGGCCCTCTGACTACCCTAGAGAACCTACTGTCTTACTCGCTGGAGTCAAAGATACAATTAAATCGCTAAAGGGAAATAAGTCCCCAGGTATTAATTCTTCAATACCAGGTGAAATACTACAGTTACTAGGTAACAAAGGAATACATATTATCCATTCTATCTGTGTCGCTATTTGAAATTCAGGAAAATGGTCTTTGATTGATGTACCTCAATTTATATCCCGCTACAAAACAAGATAACTACTATCAGATTTGAAAACTACTCAACACTATCACTAATAACACATGCTAGTAAAATATTGTTGCATATCATCAAAACAGATTAAAAACCTATCTACATTACCAAATACCTTATGAACAAGTGGGGTTTGTAAAGCGTAAAGATACATGGGAACAAATCTGAACCTGAGAAAAGTGTAGAGAATTTCAAATACGTATGATTATATGTTTCGTTGACTACTAAAAGGCATTTGATTGTGTAAGCTGGATAAATCTGTGGTCAATTTTAATAGAAATGGGCACAATAATGCACCTGGTGATACTTGTTAAAAGTCTATACCAGTCAAATATAGCAACAGTACGACTAGATCAGAAGTTCTGAAATCAATTCAAGACCAAGAGAGGTGTTAGACAAGGATGCGTGTTGTCACCTGACTTGTTCATCATTTATGGTGAACATGTCATGAGAATGGCTTTAGATTGATGAGTCGTGGAGTAACAGTGGCTCGTAGGAAACACTCCAATTTGAGATTTGCTGATGACACTACACTTTTAACAGCAAACGAGCAAGAAATGTTTAATTTCCTGCAAAGAGTTAAGTATAAAAGCAATAAAGTTGGCCTGAAAATCAATAAAGTTGAGACAAAAATAATGGTAGTCGACAGATTGCACACTATTCAACTGACTAACATATTACAGGAATACCATATAGTGGACAATTTTCCATACCATATAGACAAATATACATATAGTTCTTTTACAATAAGAATATGTCCAGTAACACAGAAAACTCCCTATGCATAGATTCTGATATAATCTAGTGACTCCAGTTCATTTCTCGCCGATTTCTGTTATTGTGTTTGTGAATTTTAGGTTATTCACGTTATTTAAACCCACGCAAAGCAGACCCTGCATCGCTTTCTGATTTGCCAGGTGTATCGACTACGTGACCTAAATGACGAATAAGAAGGTCACTTAATCGATAAATCCGGCCCATTAGATAGAGATGCAGAGACTTCGTACTGGGGAACGCCACTGTATTGCAGCTAGTGTTGCCCAAATGCAAGAACAAGACGAGACTTAGACAGTCTTGGTCTTGATCTTGCGCCAACACACCTAGTCTTGGTCTTGGTCTGGCAGCAAGAGTCTTGCAAGTCTTGCAGTTACCCATTAGCCTATTGCTATTTTTTAAATGTTACTTTAGATTTTGGAACAATGTAACCAAATCAATACAAAATCAAATAAATGGCATAAACTTGATTTTATTTTGAAGAACATTATGTGCCTAGAAAATGATCGTTGGCAAAAGTTTAAAGTTTATTAGAAACATGTATTTTTTTCGAGTATTTGCCTTTCACTATGTGTGATTTAAAAATCATTCAATTCGGTGAGAGATGTGCACAACATGTTAATGCCAGTTCTCACTTTTAAACCAAATTCAATCATATTATGTGTGGAATTCCATTTCGTTGGACAGTCGAGTATGGTATTCAGATTTCATTATAAGTCAGCTGCTTTGCAAGCAGATTGAAATTTCCTCTTCAATATCTCACTTCTTTTTATTTTACTAGAAATACTGCATAATTTTGTTATAGCTGTAGGGGAGTCAACAATATTTGTCGCATATTCTTTATCATCTTCAGTCTCGTTTTCATAGGTTTCATACTGCTGTTCTTGTCCGTTATTGTCAGTTTCACTGTGTAATGCTAAGGTCTTTAATATATCTTGTACACCAAGGTTTTAAAATGTGAGCAAAGCACCGGAAATGTTTATTGTCTGAATCAAAGTGTGGCAGCGACTCAGTTCATACATACATTTGGTATTTGCAGTTGCGTTGGTCAATATTTTATTTTTACATTGTAATTATGATCTTTCTATAGCGTATATACAGACAATATGTAAAATGGGGGTTACAAGTCAGCATGAAGAAAACAGAATATTTAGTTATCAATTCAGATGCAAGGTTTGAAGTGTTGATAGACGCAAGAACAAGACTAAGACCGATTTTGGCCAACAATAATTGCAGCAGTCAGTCTATGTTGTATTATATGTCTATGGTTAATTACTTTGTCATTTTAATTTTTGCTGCAAAGTTCTTTTAAGAACTAATAAGCCTTTATTAATTTGCAAAAATACCCAAAGCTTTAGGAAGTTGTGCCCAGAAAATGGCCGTTTCCTTAATTACCTATTTTGAGACAGAAGTGACCATCAATCTATATTACTTCCGCTTAAAGCAGTTAGAGATGTAAGTAATTATTTGTACTATTCCTTTTTCAATAGTGATATAAATAGTTGTAAGCAATATTTAATTTTACATTTTGAAACAATTGTATTTCAGTTTGAGTAACAAGTGAGGTTATAATATGGAAGTTTTTGTTTCTAGAGAGTAGCAGCGGCGTTAAATAAAATTGCAACAGAAGCCAATAGTAGGGAACCATTAAGAAGCCCAAAGCAAAAAACAATGTACAAAGCCAGTTGTTGATCAATATCAATTTACAATATTACAATATATTTGTACATATCAATAATCTTTAAAATATATTATCATTTTAGAGCAGCAAGTTAAATTATAAACATTATAAGCGAAATTAGCAGAAAGTGATACATTTAGTGGTAGTTTTAGTACTCGTAATTCAATTTTTTTTTCTTTTAAAAGAAGCGTCTTGCCGAATCTTTTACAACGCTCTTTTTAAAATTTTTTAAACTAATAATTACCGAGATATTGTATTTGTTTATAAGCCAAAAACATTGTTTATAATTTCAAACCATTGTTTATAATTTCAAAACATTTTTGAGGCTGTACAAATTATTCCTTTACAATTCCATAAAGAATTGTAAATAGGTTTT